TCGGCCAGCCGCGGGCTCGGGCCGTGGCTCATAGTGAGGCTGGGCAGGCCCTGGGTGTGAACTCGCCTAGGCTCAAGGACGACGCCAGGGACCAGAGACCTACATGATACCACTGTGTGTGTGATGGACTCCGGGGCTCACTTACTCCTCGGATACCCGTCTGGGACAGCTCTTCAGACCTGTGGGAGAACACAACCATTATTGGGCTGTGACCACCACTGACAGTTACCCCATCAGCCAGCCCTATGCATGCTCAGGGGACGAATGGGACAGTACTGGCAGTAGTAGGAAGGGGGAGGTGTGTTCCAGGGTGGCCCCAAGGAGGCCTGCAGGGGTCTTCAGCTACTTTCTCCCTGGCTCCAACTCCCCTCATCCCTTCAAGGCCGCTGATCCGAACACTTGATTTGTTGTGTCTGAGCTTCATGTAAGCCTTTCTGGGCTTCTGCTTCTCTGCCTGTACTATGGGAGGGAGGTGCAGAGTAAGGAAGACCAGGATACCTTCATCCGGGTGTGCTTCAGGTTCACCTGGAGCCTTGCTTAATAAACAATCAGCAGTTCATGGCCTGCGGTGTTTGGCAGGTATACAGCAGAGACTACATTTCAGGGGTCCCCGTGTGGGGCTTGTTGAGTATTCAAGCAACCTCTGAGCAGGCTCAAGACTCCGAGTCTCCCCAGCTTCTCCATGGAAAACCATTAACAAGCTCTCTACTACTGAGCCCATGTCACCCTTATTGCTTACAGTTCCATACATATCTCAACTGTGTGGATAGTCACTAGACAGACACAAGGACCCAGGATCTAGTTCCTGACAGGCAGTGTGCCCTTTCTGACTCAGTGTCTCGGCCTGGGTGATGAGTTGGTAGCTTTGGCGCCCACAAGCATCTAGACATTTCTGCATACACAGACACATCTGGGAACATGCGAGCAATCCCACCCACACAAAACAGGGGTAAATGACACATACGGTCAGAGATGGACCTATGGGCACACAGCTATACAAATAGATACAGATACACTTGTATACATGCACCAGCACACTAATAGGCCCCCAAACATGCACTCCTAAGAGAATTCTGGGCACACAACACTCCCCCTTCCCCATTTTCCTGGCCCAGTTCCATCAGAACAGCCCTAAAAGAAACAACATGAGCATCTATCTATCTGCAGGGGAGAGGAGAGGAGGGGGTTGGCAGGAAGCCCAAGTTCTATGGTAGAAGTGTGGCAGGGGGGGTGCCGCCGTTACATCCACTGCCTCAGAGCTGCCAGGCCTGGCATAGGGCTCTGCTTGGCTTTGAGAGGGCTCCAACTGGCTCCTTCCAGAAATTCTAAGCCCATGGCACAGGAACAGGGCAGACATCATGCAGGCCCCTAATGGCTTCCAGGCTGGGGCCTCCAAAGTCAGCTCTGGCCCCTCTGGGGTGTAGGGTGGGGGGAAGGGTAGGAACAGTGGGGCAGGGAGGCTCTGAACACCTTTTGCCTTTCTCCTCAGACCAAGAACAGGTATGCACTTGCTTGGGGGAAGAGGTGGAACATGTCCACCCCACCCCCACAAGCACACCTGTGCAGACCCCTGTGCAGCTGGCCTCTGCCTAGCAACACATCCCCGTTCCCACCCTACTCACATAACAGCCTTGGAAACACTCAAGTATCTGTGGTAACCCAGGTACACATAGGCCCTGCTCATGCCTCCTGCTATAGATAGGCAGGCAGGGCCCCGCTGCCTGCCACTTGTCCCTTCATCCCCAGGTTCAGTGCCTTTTTCCTTTGGTGACATTGGGGGGTGGGGGGAGGCTGATTACCTAAGGCTGCCATTGTACTCCAAGGAGCAGCTGAGGGTGGGGGCAGCGCCCACAGGCCCATTGAGTAGCTGTCTCCATTCCTCCTAAAGCCAGCCAGCCCATGCTCCCAACTCAGGCACCACCATTAGGAAATGTCCTATCCCATCCCACAGCCATACCTGGCCAGGGACCTCTTACAGCACTGCCTTCCACTCTATAGAGGCATCTTGTGCTGCTTACAGCTTATAAGGCAGGCCCTGCATATAGTACTTGCCTAAAGTTGGCTAGTGTGATGGAAGACGTAGAGTTGCATCTGAGTTAAGCAGCAGAGTTGAGAAGGTCTCAGAGCTTCTGAACCCCAGCCATAACTTGGTCCCTGCCTGGTCCAGGAAACAAGGACACTTTGACTGGCCACTCATTACAGGCTACAGATTCAGTGCCGCCCGTAGAAAGTGACCAGGGTCTTCTTTTGTTCACAGACTCATTGGGAACGCCTCTCCCTCTTCCTGTCTACAGCTGTAAACTCCTGCACAACCTTCAAGACCTGCCTGCATCATCTCCTCACCCGAGAAGACCTTCTAACCTCATGCTAGTTTTTCTAAACACCAGACCCTCCTTGTTTCAGGGAATGAACATACTGTGAAGCTCTCAAAGGCTTCTTGGTCTTGTTGGCTATCTGAACAGGGCAGAGCCGGAGCAGATGCTGTATGAATGTTTCCTGAGCCCATGAAAGATGGACAAAGCTCCTATTAGGGGGTCTCCCTATGGTCAGACAGTTTGGGAAAGTTGTGTAGTCCTAAAAATCAGAAGCCAGTTTTCAGCCTGGCGTTAATACAGGTAGGTATCTAAGTCTGTCTGTGGTCAATGTCAGAGTCAGACATCTGAGCTCTTGCCTGAGGAAGTCTCTCTAATTGGGGTTGATATTCAACTTTGTATTCTGTCCTTGGTGTTTGATTGGTTCTCTCAGTATCCGTGGAGAGGCATGAGGGACACTAAGAACTGGATGGGGGCCAGCTGTGGCGATGGGGAACCCGGGACCTCCATAACTCTGACTTCTCCTATGTCCTCTTAGAATCGTTCAGGTGGACTCTGGGCTAAGCCCAGGGCCACAGGCCTAGCTGTGGGTAGGGATTAGAGCCCAGTAGGAAACCACAGGGGGACTGCCTGATTGGATAAGTGCAGGGCCCAAGGCTGGTCAGCCCGCAGACTATGGGCATCGGTTCCTCTGACCACGGATACTGAGAGAGCCCAGCATATAGCTGCTGGACCTCCAGGAGAGAAACGGAGGGTGAGAGAGGGAGGAAAGCTAGGTCTCCATGCTGGAAGAGAACCCAGGTATCCCTATATCCTAAGTCACAGATTCCAACTCTTTCCCTTACAGCTGGGTCACCTGAGCCTAGATGGACAGCTATTTGCCTGCCATGGCACAGCATGCTAGCAGTAAACAGAACTAAAATGTGGAATTGGGTGCCTCTGAAGCTGGGTCATGACTACCTGAAGAGCCCCATGCCCCTAGGAGTGCCTATTGGGGGGAGGTCATCAGACATTAGGTCCACCAAACAAATGTGACTTGGATAAGGGAAAGTGGACACCTTCCTGGGCACCGACTCCAGCACCAGGACTCTTGGGATCGCACATTCGTATAGAACAGCCGTCAATCCTAGCTTTCCTATTGCTATGCCGTGTGGTATGTGCAAGTCCCTGGTCTCTGGGCCTGTTTCCTTATGTGTAGAATCTAGAGGCACCAACAAGATTCTTAATACCTCCAGCAGGTAAGCAGACTCTGTGCCAATAAGAACCAATCCAACTCCCACAAAAGCTCAGGGAACCGGCCGAATAAGGGGCATATCTCACTTACACAGACTGAAGCCGCGGGATGGGGAAGAGGCTTGCAGACTTCACCCCAGCACTGCCAGAGCGGTGGACTGCTGAGACCCCTTTCTTAGCACCCAGCCCTTGCTCCACCTGTCCCCATTAGTTCCCGAAGTTAGTTTTCTGTTTTCTAGGGCCCAGCACAGCCTTAGTCCCTACTTGATCGCCTCTTCGTGGGCCACCAGCCCCGCTCCCCCTAGCGGCTGGCAGGATGCGGGGGTCCGGTCCTGCAACGCGGTCCCGCCCACCCCACCGCTTGGCTTCCATTGGCAGCGCCGAGGGTCTGGGCGTGAAGCCGTGCTCTGATTGGCCAGTGCCACCCGTCCGTCCGGCACTCGCCATGGTGACCACGTTGG